CGGCCGTCGGACCTGCGGCAGCACGAGCGCACGCACAGCGCCGAGCGGCCCTTCAAGTGCGACCTGTGCCCTATGGGCTTCAAGCAGCAGTACGCGCTGATGCGGCACCGGCGCACGCACAAGACGGAGGAGCCCTTCAAGTGCGGCCTGTGTGAGAAGGGCTTCGGGCAGCCCAGCCACCTGCTCTACCACCAGCACGTGCACACCCTTGAGACCCTCTTCAAGTGCCCCGTGTGCCAGAAGGGCTTTGACCAGTCGGCCGAGCTGCTGCGGCACAAGTGCCTGCCGGGCACGGCCGAACGGCCCTTCAAGTGCCCGGTGTGCAACAAGGCCTACAAGCGGGCATCGGCCCTGCAGAAGCACCAGCTGGCCCACTGCTCGGCCGCAGAGAAGCCCCTGCGCTGCACCCTGTGTGAGCGCCGCTTCTTCTCATCCTCCGAGTTCGTGCAGCACCGATGCGACCCGGCCCGCGAAAAGCCGCTTAAGTGCCCGGACTGTGAGAAGCGCTTCAAGTATGCCTCTGACCTGCAGCGGCACCGGCGGGTGCACACGGGCGAGAAGCCCTATAAGTGCCCCAACTGCGACAAGGCCTTCAAGCAGCGCGAGCATCTCAACAAACACCAGGGCGTGCACGCCCGCGAGCAGCAGTTCAAGTGTGTGTGGTGCGGCGAGCGCTTTCTGGACGTGGCCCTGCTGCAGGAGCACAGCGCGCAGCACAGCGCCGCCGCCGCCGCGGCCGAGGGCGCCTACCAGGTAGCCGCCTGCCTGCCCTGAGTCCACGCCGCAGCCCCCACCAGGCCCAGCCCGGCCTCCCTGCACCCAGCTCGGTGTTCTGAGGCCCTGGGAGTGAGGACAAAAGGGCACTGGGCAGGTGGAGGGTGTGGGTGCCTGGCACTCCAGGTCCAGGCCTGGAGTGGGGCTAGCAGAGTGCTGTGGCTGGTCCTGACCCCACAAACCTCTTTCCCATTACAGGATTCACTTTCTTGAGAGCTGTCAGCCTCCCTTGTCTCTGAGGGTTTGGAACCCGGCTGGAAGTCACGTGGCCTCTCTCCACCCCAAGGAGGGGGTGGTGCTAGCCCAACCTCCCCACACCTTTCAGCCTAATTAGAAACCAGATAGGCTAGGAAAGAGGAGGGCCATGGTAGGGAGGGCATGGGAGAGGGCTGGGCTCCAGAGGTGGGCTGGGTATAGGGCTCTCCCTTCAAGTCTGAGGGAGATGGCCAGCTTTGTGATATCCTGGGACCAGAAGGGTAGACCGAGAGCCACAGGTCACTCTGTCAGCTTCAGCCAGGTTCTCTAGGTTTCTGACAAGCGAGACGTACAGCAGGGCTGCACATCTGTGGTTGGGTCTGTTTGGAGAGCAGCTGGCCCAGACAGAAGGGAGGAGGTAGAGAAGTTCTCCCATGAGACACTCAGCCAGGGACAGTGTCATCCCTGGGGAAAGGAGGAAAGGCAGCTTTTACACTGAGAGCGAAACCCACCATTTTGGAAGCACGGCTCCAAGTTCCGGTGGGGAATGCACCCTCTGCCAGTCAGAACTGCTGCTGTGAGAGAAGGGGATTGTTAGACCACCTGGTGCCTGGAAGGAAGCAGGGCCAAGCCCATGGTCTTCCCATGTGAACAAGTGTCATTCCTCCTTGAATTGTGAACCAAAGTCTCAAGGCATGGCCGTAATCAGCTCACCCTAGCCTGGCTTCAGGG